GTTAAATTTCAACAGAAGATGATCCTCTCTTTTCTTTCTCTGAAGAAGTAATTTAACAATACAGTTTGAAATATTTTTGATAACTACGCTATTAGCTGGTTTTCAGGATCGTCATAACTATTTTTACAATAAACTGAGTAATTCGAAGTCACGAGTTTTGTTATAAGAAGAAAAAACACTTAGGGGCGACTTCGCTCAGATGCACGGCGAAATAACTTGAAATGACTGACCATATGAAGTCATAATTTGGTTCTCTTTCAGATTGGCTGTTTAGTTTCAAGTTTATTAATGTTAGTCTTCAGAGCAAGCGAGTCTGCGCTTTGGATGGGAACTAGTACATTTGGTCTTTTTATGAGTAACGTGTTTCCTACAAGTGTGGCATTAGCAGAGCAGTATTTCAATGTCACAGGTTTGTTAATTACTAATGAACTTGGTCTAGTTCCCTGTCAACAACTTACGCAACGCCTGAGGTCACTGTGAAACTTCGAGAATTTCGCTAGCTTCCCTATAATCATCTCGTTCGTCGCTCGCACTAATTGGTTTACAGAAGTGCGCGAGAACTGGGGACTAGTTATACGGGCACAAAGCGGCATAGCGGGGGCGAGGGGGGAGTGGGGGAGGGGGGGGGACGGGAAAGTGGGAATGAGAGACACCTTTGCTTCCTCGAACTGCATGTCTTTCCCTTCTCGCCACTACAATTTATCTCTGTTATTCCAACTTCGTATGAAATAATTTCGGCCCACAGCTAATGATTATGGACATGTTTGCAAGATGTCCTATCCCAACTAAGTTCTGTTTTCTCAATTGTTGTGATTTTCAGGTACGGTGACCTGCATGTTTGTTGTTAGTGCAGCTATAGGTGAGATGATAATTCCACTCATTGTGGGCAAGGTCTTTGACTACGTTGGTCCAATCAGCTTCCTAGCCGAGGGATGCATCCTGTGTTTCGCGGCATTTGGAGCTTATTTAGCTGTACTAATATTAGGAAAAGGGGCGGCCTCTCACGATGTCTCCAGGAGAGAAGGTGAGGAAGTCTTATAGCTCAGGTCTTTGCAGTGAAACGGAGGTAAATAGCCTTGCACTTGTTATTGTATTCCCTAATCAATTAGGGACAAGGTCGGCTTTCGTCACAATAGCTCATTGGCCAGAGGCGAAAGTATTACTTCTCGTAATTGATTGGGTGCTAATCCATTTCAGCATAGAAACCAATCGTTATTTATCGCCGGGGTAGGGGGAGAGGGTAATTGATGACCGGTTTCTTCGCCCTGTACCCTAGGCAGCCGTTGAGAAAAGGTTCGATTCTACTTTTGAAATTATTCAAGACCTACCTTGAGATATTATGTTTTTGTTGACTGTAGTTGGAATAAACTTGCTGTTATCTGTCTTAGTGCTCGGAGAAGGAAAAGATGGCTGTGAGGAAGATGAAGAAAAGCCTGTGGGGGAAACAGAACAAGATTCTGATCAACTTATTTCTAAAGATAAATCGCCAAATAGATGACATGATGTATGGACGAAGAAGCGAGATGAAAAAGAGAGAAGCTTAGGGACAATCTATAAGTAACACAGGCTATCCGGCTTCGTACCCAACTTCTTACGTTTGTAATTGGCCGTGGGATATCTGGGGGCGAATCGACAAAAATCGTCGTCATTTGTTGACGTCAAATGAAATGCCATGATAGGTACCGTTCCTCCTTTCCCGTATTCCCGCGTGGAATCTGAGAAACGAGGCACACCTCGTTTTAAACAAAGTACATTTGCAAGAAAGAAAGTGGTTAGAGGAAAATTCAAAACTTTTTGCTGCGTATCTTTTTAACTATGAATAATAATGTTCCGGCTTTCTACCTTCCGTATATCTCCTTGCCTCCAGAAAGGCTGAAATTACTCTGTTGCCTTCTCCATTGTCACGTCTAGTTTCGACAATTTAAACTGAAGGCTTTGCAATGATTGTCATTTATTACCTAAGTAGATTAAGGCTTATTAAGGATATGAAATAATTTTGTACTAAGTGTCAATAGTTTTGTACTCACCACAAGAATTAAAATAAACTAAATCTTAATCTGGCAATGCGTTTGACACATCCTTGGAAGTTGCATAATTTTTTGTCATGTAACTTGGGGTTTCAAGATCTTACCGTCTCCTTCTGAGAGGGTTAAGTTAAGGCCCTTATTTTTTTCTCATTGATTTCTACAAATTTATGACGGGAGACTAATTAAAGATGGGGCTCATTGAAAAATATTTTAACTCAGACTTAAAAGACAACTCTTCATTTTTTTTTCTGAACTTTGTCAAGCTGTATTGAGTACAGTGCGAAATATGACCATTGTGGATTCCTCCTGACCGATGTCGTTCGATCCCGTAAATGTGGATCGCACAAGTTACCCTTCAATTTTGCTGACATTTTTTGGGGGCTGAACTCAGCGATAGTAAGTTCACAATGAAGCTATTGTTCTGAGTATTTTAACTTTTGAACATTGCCCACTTTGAACCGATGCGCCCGAGCATTTCGTTCAGCCGAGTGATCAATAAAAGACTGGTGACGACTATTGGACTTTAATTGAACTTCGAACGGTGACCGCGCGTGATGGAAAATCCCTCTGATTTGTGTCCCTTGCATTTGCAGTGTAGCATATTAAAACTTGCAGAACCAAAGCAAAGCGCTGTGGTCGATCGCGTTCGTATTAAGTTGTATTACTGGCTTGAAATCAAAGTTACTTGATATGCAAAGCTACAGCTGGAATTGGAGGTGTCTTCGTAGGTTTCACTGTGGAACGCTCATCAGGAAACCGACAACTGAAATGAACAACACTCGCTTTTTTATAATTGGACGTTCATGGCGACGTGGAAATATTTCAAGGCACATCTTCAACGTTGATACGGGATAGGAAGAGATATGTGAGTTTTTTCTCTTATTGTTTTCAAAAATCAGCGCCAATCATTCTCCTTTAACGGTCTCTAAAATATAGTGAGAACGGTCGACGACTCGTTCTCCCGTGTGGGTGGGTTGGGGGGAGGGGGTAGTGGATAGTGGGTAGTGGAACACTTGTGGGTAGTAGGTAATTAAAATTTTGCACGGATATATTAATTGTCAGTAACTAAATTCTCTCAACACTGTCACCCCTGAATCATCCTTCAAGAAACTCTTGATTGTTGTACAAATTCTCCCAGTAGGTAAATATGGAACGGTAGGGATGATGATGTTGGGGTGGTAAGGTTTTCCTTCATCAATCCATAGTTATTAATTAGATGCAAAGTAAGTAGATAGCATCATCTATTTCACCAGAAAATTTTGCAAAAAAACAGTTATGAATGCTGTTATGAAAACTATAATTAATTGAAGCTTTTAAATTGACATTTTTAAAACTTTCCTGTTAATTGGAAAAATTCAACTCTTTTACCCATAAATATTAAGTATGATGATGGTATCTAGTACGTTTTCCATCCAAAGAACACTCATGATTTTTGTGGTGCTGAATGTAGAGAGGCAATGCCTTTCTCTATCATCATCTTAGTGCCTTCTGATTCTAAATGATCGTTGTAAATGATTAATATCAGGGGTTTTTATCATCAGCATCACTATTACCTGGCTGAATTTTTTCAATCTCTTGTATTGACTGTCACTGAAGTGTACTTGTGAAGATCAATTTGTCACTAGCAGTAACTTTTTTAGCATCTTCTTTTATTTACTTCAGGTGGACATCAGGCGTAAAGAGCAGCAAACCAAAAATTTTTTGTGCTTAAAATTCTATTTGTGGTTTTGTTTGTGACATAAATAAACTTGTCACATCCTGCCAAAGTAAACTTCTTAAGGAATTCAGAAATTTTAAAATCTTGTGCTTTGTATAATTTCTTTTAGTCATACATGTCTAATATATATTTAGGTAAAGGCTTGAAATAATAATTCTGAGTACCTGGTTTGAAACTGTGAAAAGATCTTTTTATTACACAAACCTCATGAAACTTGTGAAGTTAGGAGTATTTTAAAAACAAATTTTAATACTGGCGTGTGCTCTTTAGACTCAACTAAACCATTTTTGTTGTTTATCTAAATTATGCTGCTATGATTGCAATGACAACTTTATTTCTTGACATTTAGGGAGCTGCCATCCGTCACCCTGTAATGCACTGTGACCTCTGGACTGAAGTGAGGCAGTACCTGGTGGTTCTTGACAGCTATGGTTTTAAAGTTAGCTGTTTTTACCTCATCTCAGCGAGGTGCTTAACTTAAGAGAAGTACTATCTTGGTGCAACACACCCTGGCTTTCTAAGACTTTGGGTAAGTTAATATTATTATTTTATGGTCCAGTTTGGCAAGGAGTTGAAGCTCTTCCACCGACTATACCGGTGATGATCACGCGAATCGCGAATTTTGTTAGTCGTATATTTCTTAAGAGGAAAGAAAACTACAGTATTGATTTTTTAATCTTTTACAAAAGTTAAATTAAATTTTATTTCAGAGAACTGATTCTCGACTTTCAAAGCAATTTCTAAGCTTTGCCGAATTACGATAGTTGTACAGACTCGCTCCAACTGATCGATAATGGCGCGCAGTATTTACAGCTATAATATCATTCGATCTGCTGTTTTTGTGACTTACCGTAATTCCAGTTTAGTATTGTGTTTTGAAAATTTAGGGATACTTAATTTAAAGAAACATTTCCTGCCGAGTTCTGCCGCTGTCGGAAATGAGGAGGAAGGTTTTTAAATTCCCGTTTGACTTGACCAGTTTACGGAAAGATGGGGTCTTCTCTGTAATTTTATTTTCAATACTTTCTACAAAAACGTTTCGGGACTCGATCTTAGAAGCCTCAAATGATGTACATTATTTTGCATCGAATCGACGATCAATCGGAGAAAGATAAAGAAACGATTGAATAAGATTTTGAACACACCCCCGATAACGCCTCCTTGTAAACAAAACCAGTCTTTCCTGTTGAGCTTCGTAGCTGCCTGTGATTGGCGCGTTAATCGAGTCCAACTAGTTTAGGCAACAAAACCGGTGCAGTTTTTAGTTTTACTACGTGCGCTGGTTGGATTTGTTGCCTTCAATACGCAGATTTCGAAGTGTACGCATTATCGAATCAACCAGTACTCGGATTTTGGTTCAGTCGAGCGAATTATGCTCAGTGCATTTCGTTTTGTACAAGTTGCAGCGAGAAGGACCATATACACATCAACAAACGCCATGGGATCGTTGAAAGTTGCCGTGATCGGCCAGTCGCAGTTTGGTTTGGAAGTCTACAAAAACCTCAGATTAAAAGGCCACGAGATCGTCGGAGTATTTACAGTTCCTGATGTTAAAGGAAAACCAGATGTTCTTGCGACAGGAGCCGAGCAAGATGGAGTGAAAGTCTTCAAATTTCCGAGATGGAGAACAAAAGGGGAACCGATTCCCGAAGTTGTAGAAGCGTACAAAGCTTGCGAAGCTGAATTAAACGTGCTTCCATTCTGTTCGCAGTTTATTCCCATGAACGTTATTGATTTCCCTAAACATGGTTCAATCATTTATCATCCTTCTTTGCTGCCGAGACACCGAGGAGCTTCAGCTATCAATTGGTGAGTGAATCTTATGTAAGATTTGTTTTGGTCACGCAAAGATCGTGAACGTGGTGTTGTTTTCTCTGCGGGTTTCCGTTGAATGTTATTTGAGCTCAATTTCCTCAACTAAATAATGCCCCTCTTGACTTAGCGGAGGGTATTTGAGGTAAGAATGGTAATTGAACGAAAATGTGCTATTCAGTTTCAAATTAATCGTATTATGTTTGATTTGAAATACGTATCCAAAAACATCTAATCACTATATTACGCTCAACAATGGTCGAAAAATTATGAATGACTTTTTGTTAAAACATGGCATGCTAATGAAGCTACTTTTGTCGGTTTAAATCTTCCGGTAGTTAGAGAACGAGTCAAACCGGAATTAAATTATAGAAAAAAAGCCAGGCTCTCCTTAGAACTCCAAGCCGGTAAAAGTGTTTTTGTTTACAGGGTAACAAGGCTTTATTGTTCATTTAGCTTGCAACGAACCTTAACGATTTCTTTGCTAATCATACAATTTCAAGCCGCTTTTCTTTAAAAATAAAAGTGGGAAACGGCCTGGAAACCTGTTGATTGTTGCGTAAATGTAATGTTTACTTTGTTTTGTGCTAATGTGTTAAATTGTGGAGAATGTTATGTCTGTTTCATGCGTTAGTCGCCATCTTGTTTTAATAATTTTCGATTGGCTTGGGAAAAAATTCTTCATAACATCATCTCGATATTGAAGAGTGTAGCATCAAATTGAAGATTTGCCCGTTGGAATTGGTTTAATTTTGGGTATTTTGCTGAGACTATTCAGAGTCACAGTGGAGTCGTGCTTGAAAATTTCCGATCTTCCATGTTAAGCTAAAATAATTGTTTGCGAGTACATTTTTTGATCATCAACTCCTCTTTTTCTTGAAAATAAACCACAACCTTAGTGAGCCCTTTCAGAAAGTGAGCAAACACCTCCCTCTGATCTGAGGATGGTTTTGAATGACTAGTGTTTTGAAGGAACGGTATGCTCGATGCATATGTAGAAATCATACGATACATTTTTTTTGTGGCTGTTTTTAAAAGTTTGCATGAAATCTTGAAAGCGTCTGTGCTTTGTGATTCCAAAGAGAAATGTAACCATTTGCAAGTTTTCTTAAAATTTAATGAAGAAATTTGACATTTTGAATCATGCACAATAAACTGGCCTCTATAGCCTGTGATTTTACAGTCTCACTCCTCAGTATTCTTCCTTTAAAAACTCTTGGCCATCTCTTTGAACAATCAGGAACTAATGAAAAAGGCATTCTTGACTCCAATAATGATCTTTTGTGGAAGCAGGGTAGATATTTGTTCTTTAGTGTTGTGTTATTATTTTGCATTTTTTCATAGCTATGTTTCAGAGATCTAAATAGTTGTGTTGTCCTTGGTCAAATTTGCATGGCATTCAAGGGGAAAAAAAATTTTTATGGTCAGGTTTTTCCTTGGCATCTGTATATGCAGTAATGCATAAATTTTATACTAGTACATGCAATTCTTTAAAGATGAAGATATAGATAACATGGATTCTGGAGTACACGTCTCCTCTAAATGGAATTTATAGGATTTTTTGAGAGAAGAGAATTTCTGGAAGAAAAACCACCATTGCAGTTTAGTGGAAAAGCAGAAAGATATTGCATGCTAAAGTGATTTAAAAGATAAACCTGTGCAAGAATTCACAAGGGGATCTATGAACCCTAAGAGGGTAGGGTGGTATAAGTCTTCTTGCTTTCTTTTGGTCATTAATGTACAGTTTAATAAGACCTCCTTAGAGGGAAGTTTGTTACACTGCTCACCTATGTTTGGTCACATGTGTCTGTTTTTGTTAGGACTTTAATGGAAGGAGACGAGCAAGGAGGCTTTAGTGTGTTCTGGGCTGATGATGGTCTGGATACAGGTCCAATCCTTCTTCAAAAGAGTGTAGATATTGATCCCAATGAGACAGTTGACTCCTTGTACAACCGATTCTTGTATCCGGAGGGCATCAAAAGCATGGTGTGTGGCTTTATAATTTCTAAAATAAACTTAAAACGAGGGTAGGACATTCTAGGTGACAAGTTACAAAGATGCGATGTAGGAATGCTTATGCAGGTCATGGCAAAAATTTACCTTGTCTTACCTGGAGGATTTCTTTAATAATTTTTATTCTTGTGATTGAAAATTTTATTCAAATCAAGTCACTCAAATTATCTCTGGTTTGAATTTTTGTGTACCTTTCTAGCCAGGGGGACAAAATCATATTTGAAAGTTAGCATTGTGAAGACAGAAAAGAAGAATTTGTAAATCATGTTTATATGTCTATAAATTAAACAGTAGTCATCAGTATACTTTACAAGGCTAATTTCCTTGAGTATCTTGTATCTTAGAGTGCAGTCTGTGATAGAAAGAAAAAACTTATCTGAGAAAATTTTTTTTTATGGCAGGTGGAAGCAGTTGATTTGATTAGTGATGGAAAAGCTCCAAAAATTCCTCAACCAGAAGAAGGAGCCACTTATGACAAAATATGGAAAAAGAAAGAAGTGGCCAAGGTTTGCATCATTTAGATGTTGCTTATTATATATTTTCATGAAGAACTGTTCCATGCTGTTACTTTTTCCATTTACTGTTATATTTTGTTTCTCAACACAGATCAACTTTGCCCAGCCTGCTACTGTGTTGCACAACTTCATTCGTGGAAATGATAAGGTGAGTCATTTATTTCTCCAGTTATACATGTAATATTACATTGTATGTGAGTGCTTAACTGCATTATTTCATAACGGAACTACATGTATTTGTCTGATCCAACAGCTTCCAGGAGCATGGGCCATGATTGATGGTCAGGTGAGTTTTAAAAATTATTGCTGTTACATGTACACAACTGTATTGTTAACAATTTTAGAAATTCATCAGCAGACTAGATTATTATACTGCTGGCTTTGTGAACTTGAATATTACAGTAGACTATTGAAAATGCCAACTGTAGTGCAAAAGTTGGTTTACAACACATTTTGTATGAGTTCATTGTTGACAGTGCTTTGAAAAGTTTAGAAGGTAGTACAACCTGTACCTTGTATTAGACCATAAAGGAAATGATCACCAACTAAAGAAGCTCTTGAATGTGAAACTAATTCTCCTTTTCAGCAACTTAGGAAATTTCTGGAGAACAGTAGGGAGACTGTGCATACTGATGTTAGGGTGTGATTGGTTTAAAAAATTCCTTTATTTAAATGCAACCATTTTTTTTCTACTTGTACATGTAGCAAGTAACATTTTATGGGTCATCACTGACACCTGGCGATAAACCACCTGATGGTTCTGCAGTCACAATTGAAGGCCTGGAAATGCCTGCCATAGTGCACAGTGGGGGTATGACGTTGACAGGAACTGATGGCAAGATGGTGAGTGCAAAGCTAGGTTGTGTCACATATTACATAATGCTGATTGCAGTATTTAAATGGTTCGAACCAACCCTGTATTAACAGTTTTGGATTTTTGTTCATCCAAAATCTCAGAGAAAAGATCTTTTGGTGGAAAGAAACTAAAATACATTTGATTTTTTTACTAAATCCAGTTTTAGTAGAACAGCAGGTTAGAACTTGTGATGATCAATTTTTTTTCGTAGTTAACAGTAAAGACCCTTCAGCTTGAGGATGGACGTATGATTCAGGCATCTAAATTTGGTCAGGTGGAAGAAGCAGCAGAAGCTATTGAGCTCACAGAGGAGGAAAGAGCCATGGAAGGAAAGTTGAGGGTAATGTGATCACAATTCTACTTTGATTGAATATTTAATTCTCCTGATTTCTACAGTATCTGTGATAAAAAAAGCTCACTCTTATGTTGATGGCGAGTCAAAATAATTCTCATAATAACATTGTGATAATTAAAATACCACTCTCCAAAGGAAGACAGTATAACTTTTTAACTCTTAGAAGTGATAATCATATAACTACTCCCTTTGATTTCCATACATTATCCAACAAACAAGTTATGAGAATACACAAGTTAATCAAGTTGTCATCTTGATCTAACACCAAATTAACAAGGACCATATAGCAGCTAGAGGATAGAATCAAAAACCAGGTCTTGGGGGTTACAGAGATAAAGTAAATACTTAAGGAAGTTTTGTGTACGTTCCAAATCAATCTTTTTTGCCAGGAAAAATTTCCTCTATGGAAATTTGGTCGTGGATGTGAGTGGGATATTCTGAAGGGACCAGTATCTCGTAACTGGCAACTAGTGTTTAAACTGACTTTACTTTTTGTTGTTATTATGGTTGTGTTGTAGGAAATTTGGACAGGAATTTTGTCAAATCCTGATATTGTTGAAGACACTGACTTCTTCAAGGCTGGAGCTGGTTCAATGGATGTTACGCGGTAAAGCATGTGTTAGTTAATTGTAACTAAAAAATTTTTACTTCATTCTTTGCTGCCACTTATATGTAACTTTTGTCATGTTTCCCTCAGGCTTGTTGAAGAGGTGAAAGAAAAATGTTCAATAGTACTGGAGGCAGAGGAAATTTATATGAATACAAGGTAAGGATACAGTGGTAAATATGTTAACTTTGTAAAAGTGTATTCAACTGATGCACTTCTTTATGCTTAAGTAATTATCAAAATTTTTTATCTTTAACTCTTTCACTCTCACAAGTGACCAAGACAGAATTTCTCCTTACAATATCAATACAATATCAAGCAGGCAGGTGATGAGAATAGAGAAGAATATCAATCATGGGATTATTAGTTGATCCAATACCAAATTCTCTGAACTAACATCATAAGAATTGTATGGCAGATAGTAAGGAGAATTACTAATTAGATCTTGGGAGTGACAGGGTTAACAGTCATTCTTCCTTGTCCCCTTGTATTGTGTTTTTATATATTTCTGCGACAGCTTTAGCTATGTGTTTAGTTGTTAAATGGTCCTCTTCAGTTTTGGGGAGAATGTATGTGTGTGTGTGTGTGTGTGTTTTTTTTAAGAGAAATGTTAATATATTGATGCAAGTGAGTATTTTCAATTTCAGATATGGAGATTTTGTTCGATTGTCTGTCCTGAGGTATCGTGGAGGAGGACAGGAGGAATTCAGCTGTAGTACTGTAAGTACATTTGAAAGGAGTTGATTGATCAATGTTTTAAAATGTTAACCTGATTTTAAAGTGTAAAAGGGTTAAACTTTCCATGATCAAATCCTAACATTTGGTTGGGAGTATGTTTTCTTGTTAGCTTCATCAGGATTCAATGTGTCGATTTTAATCTTTTTATTAAGGTTGACATGGATGTGAACCACATGACCATACAAATGCCTCATCAGCTGTTTATTAATGGAGAGTTTGTGGATTCTTCCAATGGACGCACATTTGACACTATCAACCCAACAGATGGCTCAGTAAGTATTTAACACATCTAACATGACATTAGCCTACTTTCAAACCATGAAACTTTCCCTTCAATACCTTCTGATTGTAGAGCTAGATTACCAGTCTCAGGCCCTCATTGTTTGAATGATAGATAATGCCATCCAATGAGTAAATCAGGTGGATACAGTGCAGTATGTTTTGATAAAAAAGTATCTGCTGGACAGTGATTTATCTGTTGGATAACATTTCCAACCTTTGAACAACTGGACCTTAGAGGGAAATGTTTCTCAGACAAATCCTGCTCAATATACTCACACACTGAAGTTTTTTTTGAATTGATAATTAATAATTCTATGTCTCTCAACTTAATTAATTGGTACATTTATCTTTTTTTTTTTACTCAAGGTTCTTGCCAAAGCCTCCCTTGCCAGTGTGGAGGATGTGGATAAGGCTGTTGCAGCAGCAAAGGTTTATTTCAGCTTTCTTCTTGTGAAGTTCTAAACACCTATTTTAAATGTTTTTCTTGGCTGATGGAGATATTAGGGCTTTAGATATTGGAGAATTTTCTGAAAAACACATGAAAGTCTCTGGCTATATTTTAATGGTTTGAGCTGTTTTTTATTCAGATAAATATTCTTCCATTAATTTTCACTACAGTATTATGAAAAAAGTTTTCACATTGCATGTTGTCTTAGTAAAATTTGATGATCAGATACAGGCACTGTTGATCTTAGTATGCTGTAAAAGTTTAATTTTTATGTTTATTATATACTACCAAGTGCTGCTTTCAACTGAATGCAAATGATTCTCATTCTCCTCTCTTGCATCCACTCAAAAAAGTATGAAATTTTCAGGTTCAAGGATGAAATTCATTTATTTTCATTTGCTGGGTAGAAGTGATCCAATATCTGACTTTATAATCAATTGATACACAATATAGAACAGTGTACATGTTGTACATGTTGTATAACAAGATCCTGTCTCCCTAGGAAGCATTTTACAATGGGCCATGGGGAACAATGAATGCTAGAGATCGTGGACACTTGATTTATAAGTAAGTCAGCAGTTATTGGCTATAAGTGACAACTGCAAGTTAAGTAATTGCTAGGTGAATTGATTTGATCAGTATGCTCACTGAAAGGTCAATATACAAGTCATAGCAACAATCAAACACAATTTAAACAATATGCAACATTTGTTGAATTCAGAAATCTGACAAAAAGAGGTGTGTTAAGCATTCTTTTGAGTAGGCTCTAGAAATCAGTCATGAACTTGATTAAGTTATAGTGCAGGCTGCAAATCATTCTATATTCTGTAGTTTTGAAACACTCTTCCTCATTACGTTGTGACTTTGTCTTGTACCTTAGCTAAAAGTGACTAGCATGTAATTTCTTCTTACAATATCACCCCTGAATCACACTTGAGGGTCACAAGAATGAAGGAAATGATCACCAACTAAAGAAGCTGTTGATTGTCACACAAATTCTCAATATCAGCACCTCAGGAAATATAAAGAGAACAGTGTGGAGAATCTGTATACTGATGTTAAGGTGTAAACTGATATTAAGTGGTAGTGAATGACTTCATAACTTTCTCGCTGCTATTGTGTTGTGAAGGTTGGCTGACCTGATGGAAGAACACCAGGAAGAACTTGCCACTATTGAATCTCTTGACTCTGGTGCTGTGTATACTCTGGCCCTCAAGACACACATAGGAATGTCTATTGCCACACTGCGTTACTTTGCTGGATGGGCTGATAAGATTCAGGTTAGCACACTTCTTACCTTCTGGCCGATTTGTCTTTGCAAAGTTGATATGCTTAAACAAAAAAAATTGGGAGTTGAGATAGTTTTGATTTTAACTGGAGATAAACACCATGCAATACATCAAGCCTTAGTCCTCTCAATTGACATTTCAAGAAGATCATGTTTTTTGTTGATGTGTCGTGACTTATCTAATGATTTTAATTTCTATTTAATTAGGGACTGACGATTCCTATCAATAATGCAAAACCAAACAGGAACTTGTGCTACTCAAAACGAGTACCAATTGGGTAAGTGGTGTATGGTGCAACTCTTTACCTATATATCTTTACAGATACATTCCATCGAGCAGATTTATTAAAATATCTCAGAACATATTAGGATCCTTAATAATACATAATTTTTTTCTCAGTCATCTTAAGCAACAAATTAAAAAAATCAATATTGTTTAGGCTTGCAAGTATTTTAATGTTTTACCAACAAAACTAATTTCCTTTAACAAGTAACATTAACCATGCGACAGTAATAGGACTTGTGATGATTTTTTATTTTAATTTTGGGATTACCATAATTAAAACAAGGTTTGTATTGTTTTTTTTTTAATATTTTATCAACTTACTAGAAAACTTGTTAGCCAAAGGAAAGTAAAAATCTCTTGGTGGAAGTGATAATTGTGGGATATGATGGGTTTTTGGCAAGCGTATTTTGCCAAATACTTGGGCCAAAACCTTCAAATCCCATGTTATGACACCTTCTTGCTTTTTCAAGGTTTTAATTGCAGGCTGACATTTATGAGCAAGACAAACCATCATGCTTACAGTGTAAGTGGTTGCACTTCCTTCACCACTCTTGGCAGCTTTGCCTTGATAAAAAGGAAGTACCATAACTAGAGTATCATTCAGGTACAGTGATGCTTGATCCTAAATTGGGGATAATCAAAATTTTCCTCTTGTTGTTCCATTTGCTTTTGGAAGAAGTTCTTTTTCTTGTAAGAATACTGCTTAAAGGTACCTCGGACAACGATTATTATAATAGTTTATGAACAAGAATTCACAAGTCATGATGTGTTGTTAAAAAGGACAATGCAACTATTGTAAAGTTAGTAAAGTTTGGCATGGAGGTTGATTTTTACACTTTGATTGGTGGTTGTTCTTCCTTCACCACTCACGGCAATATTGACGTGATAAAAAGGAAGCACTACTTTAAGGCAACTTGTAATTGGTGGTTTTTGCAGGTATTGAACACTATTCTCCCAACACAAGCTTCACACAACAATCTGTTTTAGAATAAATCTTTAGAAATTAACAGGGGCAAATAAAAAGTATTGGGCCAATTACTGGATATTTCTTGCTTTAATGACTGAGAGAGTTTTAGGAATTCAAAGCCTTAATACAATGGTGTATATTTTACAGTGTCTGTGGTTTGATTGTGCCTTGGAACTATCCACTGATGATGCTAGCATGGAAGATCTCTCCGCTTTTGGCTGCTGGTAACACTGTTGTGCTCAAACCAGCACAGGTAAGGTTAAAAAAGCAGATTTTCTTTAAATTCTGAAGCAGGCAGTTGTTTCTAGAATGTGATCGCAGAGCAATCGGCAAAGTTTATGCATTGCTGGCTGATATACATTTATACCCGGCACACCAAAATGATGTATTGCAACGATGAATTAAAATTGATGGTGGTAGAAGAAGTAGATAAACTAGAAGAAGATGTAGTATGAGTAAGTAAGAGAAATACTCAACAATGTGGAAGACACAAAAATAAAAAAGCATCTAATGTCCTAGTAACAGTAGCAGCTGCTGGTCTTCCCATCTTGACTCTGCTTTCAAAGCATCATAGAGTACTATCTCCTGCTAGCTAGCCCCCTTCCCCTGCCCCTCCACCTACACATTCTTGCTCAACCCTTTTTTATGGTACGATAAGGGGTCCTGCGTTTGATCATAGGGTCAAGACTCAGATGCTGTCTCACTTTGAAGGGCCACCATATTAGCTGGTCTTGCATATAATTATGACTTGGCACACTTTTTCAATCCCTTGAATCACTCTATATAATTAGTGCTTTCTGACAATGATTGCATGAGTTTAACCCCTTAACTCCCAGAAGTGAGTAACATAAAACTTCTTCCTACAATATCCATACATTCTTCAGCAAACAGGTAATTAGAATATTCAAACTTATCAGGTAGAAGCTGCTGTCTTGATCTAGCACCAAGTTCTCATGACTAATTTACAGCTATAGGGGAGAATTAACAATCAGATGTTGGGAGTTAAAGGGTTAAAAGTAATTTGTTTACCTCTTGATACATGGCAAATGAAAATTGATTAATTTTGTAATTCATTTTGCAGGTAACACCAATGACAGCTCTGAAGTTTGCTGAACTCTCTGCCAAAGCTGGATTTCCCAAGGGTGTCATCAATATCCTACCTGGATCAGGTGTGTTTTTGTAGCGAGTACCTAGATTGAGTATAGTTGTTCAGATGAATGTAGAGATGACTAGATTAGATACATTAGTGGATTACTTTAAACTGCTCTGTGAAGTTGCAAGCGGCTTATTCTGTTGTTGTTTGGACTGTGGTTATTGTTTGAACAGGGTCTGTAGTTGGAAATCGTATCTGTGTTCATCCTGATATCAGAAAAGTTGGTTTCACTGGATCAACTGACACTGGACGGTCGATAATGTCAAGGTACTATTTCTACTGTGTAAAAATTACTCCAACCTGTAACAGTAACTACATTCTGTGTATGCACTTTATAATCTTTATGAGCTATAATTGTTATGTCCTAGGTTAATTGTTCCTGCTCCTATGATCTAATTTCTCCTCATAATATCACCCCTGAATCACACATTCAGGATAGGAGAATAAAGGAAATGATCACCAACAGAAGATGCATATTGATGTTAGGGTGTAAAGGGCTAATAGTTGTTCCTGGAAAAAATGTCTTGAACTGTGTTGGGATAATGAATTTTTTTTTTCTTTGAAAAAATTCTTCTAGCTGTGCCGTCAATGTCAAGAAATGTTCATTGGAGTTGGGTGGGAAATCACCTCTTGTAATATTTTCTGACTGTGACATGGACAGAGCTGTGCGACAGGTGAGAATATTGTTAGCTTGACATATACATGCATGTACTTCTGGGTATTTGAAAGGACTTACTGTGACGAATGCACTGGCAATTCAATTCAACTGAAATGTGATACACTATGGCCACAACAACCAAAAAAATTGATATTCTGAAAGCTAGATGGAAAGCAATTATAATTACAAAGGTGTAACTAAGTAAATTTTGTTTTTAGTTTTGTTTTGTTTATTGGTTTGTTTGTTTTTCCTTTTAACCAGGGAATGATGGCTTGTATGTTTAACAAAGGAGAGAACTGCATTGCTGCTGGTGTGTGAAATGTTTCAAAATCAATTTGTGAACACATACTCTACTTCCTAATAAATTGCTTATTTTTCTCTTCTATAACTTAGTGCTTCATTTTTCAATTCTGTGGTTTTGACTTTGAAAGCCAACAACACAAAAAGAATGAATCAGATTTCTCTCAAAGAAATGTTTACAGAACTGAGTATGATTTTTTTGTAATTTTTTTTTCAGGACGACTTTTTGTTGAAGCATCCATTCATGATGAATTTGTGCAGCGAGTGGTGAGTCATCCAGAAGCTATTCTTCTCTCTAAATTTACTTTAAGTTATGACAAGAAGCTAGCAGTAAAACAGGAGCATGTTGAAAGCTGCATTTGGTTTTACAATAGGTGGAAGAAATAAAAAAGATGAAAATTGGGGATCCACTTGATCGTTCAACAGACCATGGTCCTCAGAATCACAAGTAAGATTTAAATACTATTGTGCTGTACAATGAATTTGATTGATGATAAGGTTACTTAACCCCATAGATCCCAAGATCATAATAGTAATTCTCCTTACTGTTTGCCATACAATTCTTATGATGTAAGTTGGGAGAGTTTGGTATTGAATCAACTAATATTCCTGTCTTGATCACTCATGAGAGTAAAAGGGTTAACTGTTCAACAAATGAAATATTGATGATTACATGCTCATCAGTAATTTTATTGCAACTTCTTAGATAAGCTTCATTCATTTCAATCCCAAAGGGCAGGCCACCTGAAGATTTTAGAATTTTCTTAGTTGCGCAAAAGAGTAGCAGTGCTAACATTAAGTTATTTGTTCTTGATCACTAAGGGAAAGGGGATGGGTATTTTTGCAACTGGATGAGATACTGTGTATGTCCAGAAATGCATGCAGTTATGAAAATGGTGAAAATTCATCAAAATCATTAAATGTGCCAGGCTGATTTTGCTTTGAGGAATTTGACTAAAAATTTGCACAAGTGGACTGGATTTTACAGATTGTACTGTATAGTGGGTGTGGACAGTAGGTTAACTAGTAATGTTTGAGACCACACAGGTCTGAATAAGAGACTAAGAAAATACTAAACAGTAAAAAAAGAAGAGAACAACAGTGTTGTTTTGCTTTTTTTATATTTCAGAGCTCATCTTGACTCTCTTGTTGACTATTGCAAGAAAGGTGTGGAGGAAGGAGCCACACTAGTGTATGGTGGAAAACAGCTTGACAGGCCAGGTTAGTCTAGTATAAAATTCAAGTTAACTGATCACTGTTTACAGAAATAATATGTTTTGGATAAAGAACACTTTCTGAACATTAACAGTAGCCTCCATTTGGCAAGCAAATGTGCAGAATATTTGTCAGCAAGCAGAAGTATTTGATGTGTTATAATTGCAAATATCACAACAACAAAAATGAAAGTAGATGGATAGATAAATTTAGTTAGGTTAGCAATACGTGATGTGGTGTTGTACCATACCAAATCAAAAACTGATGGTCCTTTTGTTTGAGCTTCTCATTTTTAAAATAACTGGTGATCAGTCATGTAATTAATTTTTATACATGTATTTACTTTCACAGGGTACTTTTTTGAACCCACTGTGTTCACAGATGTGAAAGACAACACATTTTTGTCACAAGAAGAATCATTTGGCCCAATTATGATTATCTCTAAATTTGAAGATGGGTAAGTATGTTGGCTGTAATAAAAGGGAAAAATTAGTCAATACTTGACCCAGATGGCCAACACAGGTCATCTCAGTTTCCTTAGCATGAAGTGACTTAGAGTATCACTACTTCCCCTTTGGATAGGATGTTAATTCACTCTAAGGTTACCCCCCAGCATTTCATCAGGCTTCCCTGACAATTCACCATTACCCATTTGTACTCCTGGGTGGAGAGTTAGGCACTGAGAGGGTAAAGGGTTTTGCCCTAGGACACAAAAAGACTGATCCAGCTAGGTCTTGACCCCAGATCTCTTGACCCAAAGTCTAGTGCACTGATCATTGGGCCACTGAATCTCCTACATTGACTGTCATAATATACTATACATGCAGTTACTACCGCTAAATGCAATCAAATTTGGTATGAAAAAGTAAGCGCCATCCAGGGCAGGGCATGATAAATGTTTATATATGGTTTGCTAATGCCAAAATGGATGTAGCATAGGAAATCTGATGGTGTTACTGAAAAGGAAGGACTTTCCAAATTCTGCAACAACCTTGCCAGTTTTGCTCACAAGCTGTGCATGTTTATCTTCAGTGATGTTGAAGGTGTTTTGAAGAGTGCCAATGGTACAGAATATGGATTAGCTTCTGGAGTGTTTACAAAGGATTTGAGCAAGGTTTGTTGCTGTATGATATCCAATAATGAAAGCTTTGGTAGAACCCTCCAAATGATATTTCTAAAAACTAAGAAGGGAAGCAGTTTTGCTATGGAATCAGTGAAAGGTCAACTCAGCTTACTAAATATTCCATCTTTTACAGCTAAAGCAATTTTGAAGTTGTTAGAATTATATGATTTTATTGTTTTGGGGAAAAAAAGGAAGATTGGTATGATGAAAAAACTTGAGCCTGTCTGAGCAAAGGTTATTGAAGGCTCTATTAGTTTATAATGAAGTCTGTTAGAAGTGTTTAATTGTTTTTTTCTTTTCTATCTTTAAGGCTCTTCGTGTGGCTGATGGACTGGATGCTGGGACTTGTTTTGTGAACACTTACAACAAGACAGATGTGGCTGCCCCTTTTGGTGGGTTCAAGCAGTCTGGCTATGGAAAAGACTTGGGTAAGGCTAATTCTAAACCTTTCATGTTACAAACCAAGTCAGGTCTAAATCTAAGGGAAGTGATGTCGATGATTATTTTTGCAATTAGTGTAGTGCAAGATGGGCACCACTTAACTAATAATATATATATATTTTTTTGATGAAATTAACTTTCCATCAAGTTTTACTAATTGGCCTCCTTTTGTTGTGTTTATTACCATGGCAATGAATTCAAATTTTTTTGGAGTTGAAAGTAAGCATTTTTTT